GAGGAGAGAACGGCGAACACGGTGGCATGTCCTCACATGCAAGGTGTACCGGCGCAGCTGCAGAGCTGGGGCCATCACACGAATCTAGAATACAGCCTTCTCGTCTTGAGCCTAAAGAAAAAAAAGTCCACACAGAGGCCACTGCTGTAGACTAGACTAGTCGAAGGTGAGAAAGATAGACTACGCACAGCAGCAGCAGCAGTAGTAGCAGCAGCAGCGGCACCGCGACAAGCCTCTCCTTCCCACACATCAATTCCGTGTGTGTGCTGCGTAAAAATCATGTGTATCAGCATGCGGAACTGCTCTTGAAGCAACGTGTGCATACTGCCTACATGAACAAGGATCCCAAACAGTAGCCAGCGTACACGACAGCAATTGCGCGTTCATGTTGCAGTGGTCCTCTGCGGAGACAACGCGCTGCAGGAAAACTCGATTTTTTTTACAGCAGCAGCAGAACTCTGCCTATTTTGTCACGTCGTGCACAGCTTTCACGTCGTGCACAGCAGCTCAAATGTAGAAACAAGCTCACAATCCGTCACACAGCAGCTACTGCCGACACCACACCACAACCCTGTGTTGCTCACCTGACTCGTCCGTGTTCCAGACATGGTCGGCCGCCGGCTGGTGCTCGTCGAGGAACTGGCCCCAGAAGTCGAAGAACTTGTGCAGACGTTCATCTCCCACGCAGGTCACCCTGTTGGACTCGTAGATGCGGGCGAGTCGAAGGCTGATGCGCTCGTGCCTTCCGAGGAAGCCCTCGGCTTAAGCCAGCTCCTCCCCGGGCCCTTGTCAGCGGTCCACGGGATCGGTCGACCGTCGTTGCAGAGCTGTCTCACACGCTCCGNTCCGACACCACACCACTACCCTGTGGTGCTCACCTGACTCGTCCGTGTTCCAGACATGGTCGGCCGCCGGCTGGTGCTCGTCGAGGAACTGGCCCCAGAAGTCGAAGAACTTGTGCAGACGTTCATCTCCCACGCAGGTCACCCTGTTGGACTCGTAGATGCGGGCGAGTCGAAGGCTGATGCGCTCGTGCCTTCCGAGGAAGCCCTCAAGCCAGCTCCTCCCCGGGCCCTTGTCAGGGGTCCACGGGATCGGTCGACCGTCGTTGCAGAGCTGTCTCACACGCTCCGTGAGGTCTGCGGGGGTGAGCGGAATATAGTTCCGACCAGCGTACAGCAGAACATCTTCAAGCGCGTCCTCCTCTGCTGCGGTCATGACAGTCCCGGGACCCACCCGTGCGTCCATGGCACACTCACCGCTCAGTCGCCGCGAGAGCGACATCTTGCTGACCCCGTAGGCAGCAGCAGCAGCGTTGCGTGACATGCTACCGCGGCGGACCGCATCACAGGCCTTCGCAGCAGCCTCCGCGCTCACTCTACACCGACTACTCCGACCCATGCTTNATTTTGCTGACCCCGTAGGCAGCAGCAGCAGCGTTGCGTGACATGCTACCGCGGCGGACCGCATCACAGGCCTTCGCAGCAGCCTCCGCGCTCACTCTACACCGACTACTCCGACCCATGCTTAGCAGCAGGAGGCCAACGAAGGCGAAGATGCGCTGCATCGAAACTGCTGGTGGGCGCGTTGCTGTAGCTCGGGGCTGCGTGCGCCGATCGGCACGCTGAAGTGCTCAAACGAAAGCTAACGGAAAGCTGATCTAATTTAAAAAAAAAAACAGGGGGGGCTTGCGGATTGTGTGCCTGGTATGCCCGTTTCAAAAAAGTGGTCCTTAATGGGGGGCGGTCCTTAATACCCACAATTACTATAATGTGCTGCACCCCAAAAATGCCGGCTACACGGAGCACTATGATGGTCAGAGGTGGGTGAAGATGGCAACTACCGAGGTGGCCGCCGTCGTTTCAACATGGGCGGAAAAATTCAAGGAGTATTTTGATTTGCTCGGGGAGAAGAACGGCGATGCCTGACTGAAATCGTTTGAAGCCCTGTGCGCCTCGAACGTCATGACAAGTTCAACGACAGGCATTCAAATTCGAGCTGTAGGAAGTTTTTGGATGCGCAGGTAAAGCGGGCTGCGCTGCTTGCCATAGACAGTGCGGATTCGAAGATCAAAGCTGTAGTCTCGCACCGGGAAGAGGGTGCGTAGAGTACACTCCGAGGATGCCGACGACGCTCATCAGCGCAAGGTTCATCGAAACGCCAGGTGGTCGGAGCTGATTTAATGTAAATTAATGAAATTAAAAAAAAAACGAAACCAAAGCCGGGGTGTGGGAGTGCCCACTCTGAAGAGAACCGCCTGTGCGGTTCTTCAGTGTTGTACTAAACTGGCCTACATACGGTGGCGGGTGCATNGCTGAAATCGTTTGAAGCCCTGCGCGCCTCGAACGTCATGACAAGTTCAATGACAGGCATTCAAATTCGAGTTGTAGGAAGTTTTTGGATGCGCAGGTAAAGCGGGCTGCGCTGCTTGCCATAGACAGTGCGAATTCGAAGATCAAAGCTGTAGTCTCGCACCAGGAAGAGGGTGCGTAGAGTACACTCCGAGGATGCTGACGACGCTCATCAGCGCAAGGTTCATCGAAACGCCAGGTGGTCGGAGCTGATTTAATGTAAATTAATGAAATTAATAAAAAACGAAACCAAAGCCGGGGTGTGGGAGTGCCCACTCTGAAGAGAACCGCCTGTGCGGTTCTTCAGTGTTGTACTAAACTGGCCTACATACGGTGGCGGGTGCATGCTAACACCTCACTGGACCCTCTAATTCACGGGGTACCGAGGCTCCGCTCTCACCCCGATCATCCAGAACACGATTGTCGCCCGGCCCTCCGGAAACCTGCCCAATCTCTTTTATTTAGTGGGACTATCGCTCCCACGCCAAGCACATCTTACCCACCATGCAACTGCAGACAACTATCGTTAACGCGCGCCGCGCAGAGGCGGAAAGATCGTCTTGAGCGTACGCGTGATAAAGGGCCAAGCACAACATGAACTCCAAGAGGGTCCACACCAGCGCTCCCCTGAACACGACCGCGCCGTCCACGATAGAGTCCGTGAAAGGCATCGCGACCAGCCTCACCCGAAATCGAAAGTCGAGGGATGTTTTGGATGCCCATACTATAACGCCCCGGCTCATCCAGATATAGAGCAAGACCAATTAAGACCACTTCCGGATCACAGTAAAAAACATGGCCAGGGAGACGAAGCAAGAAACTATCTCCAAGACGTGGTACACCAAACAGAACCATACGTGACTTNATACTATAACGCCCCGGCTCATCCAGAGATAGAGCAAGACCAATGACGACCACTTCCGGATCACAGTAAAAAACATGGCCAGGGAGACGAAGTAAGAAACTATCTCCAAGACGTGGTACACCAAACAGAACCATACGTGACTTCGCGGGTGCACTTTACCGAATACTCTCATCTCGCTAGGATTTCCATTCTATGGCACCCTACTAAACACCCATCCTGTCAAGTATGAACAAAGTCGGCCGGCAGTACCTTCTCCCGTCTGTGTCGCTAAGAATTCTACGCTAGAAACGTCTGTGGCCGCGTAGGCCAGGCTCGCCACCGAGATGCAAACGGAGCCTACACGCCAAACCAAGCGACCATGAGACAATATTGTCTCTGTCCACAGAATGAGCATTGCGTACAACTGGAGCAACAACTGCGGCACCGACTCAAACAGTGGCTCGACAACNGCCTACACGCCAAACCAAGCGACCATGAGACAACATTGTCTCTGTCCACAGAATGAGCATTGCATACAACTGGAGCAACAACTGCGGCACCGACTCAAACAGTGGCTCGACAACGCGCACAAGCGCCAAAACTGGTGAGTATTGTTCATCGCCAACAGTAGTCCACGCCTCATATATCAAGCTCAAATGTGTCGCCACGAGGACACGGCGGTACCACTGAAATCCAGAAAGAAAGAAAATGGATGTGATCAGCGCTGGCCCAAGGGCGAAGGCGAGCCCAAGCCCACCCCAAACAGGATGATCTCCCCTGAAGTAGAACACTGCGGTGAAAATATCTGAAACCAAGTCCGGATAGCCGAGGGAAACCGGCAATACCAGGATTTTCTTTGCGTGATCATCGTCTTCGACCTGCGGGAGAGGGGGGCCGTCCCCAGCAAACCCAGTTACGACGACCCAAAGCGGGGGTACTGCTTTAACTCGTCCGGGATCGGCCCTGTACGAATCATCAGAGTGGGTAAAACATGGGCCAGTGTTTTGAGAGATTAACACTGCCTGGATACTTTGATATGTTTATTCCTTCTTACCTCTCTGCGAGTTTCCGTGATAACTTCCACCAATCGCACGGAGGTGAGTACGTGGTCTGGAAGCGGGGCATTGTTAACTTACTCCCCGTTACTTCGTATTCATTATTCGCCATACAGGAATCATACCGGAGGAGCTCGGGAAGCCAATTGCGCATAAGCATTATATCTGAACAACAAAAACTCTCAGGTGAGCGAAATCGTTAGAAGCAACGCGCGCTTAATTCCGGTTTTGCAATAACGTACATCAGCCTTCGGTACAACGGCCTACATGGTGAGTCGCCTACAAGGGCATACTTTTTTCTTCAACAGGAAGACAAGAGAACCCCCCGCATTTTGTACTTAGGCATGCGGATGGACACCGACTGCGGTGGGTGAGTGACTGCTCCTGAAAGTTAAAAATACCAAGCACCAGATCCCTCCTCTGTGTTTCTTGTACAGGACCAAGCCCTAAGGAGCTGGAAGCACTGAGTAAGTTGGATACGCCTTGGCTCAACGGCAATCAACTTACTAGCGAGGACCGTGTCAAAACCCACATTCTTTTGTGGAGATGGAAGGAACAACATGCATGCATGAATCCCGCGGCAGTTGGCGTCCACGCATCATGCAAGTCGGTCGGGAAAGAGCTAACAAATTACGTGGTGACTCACCGCTTAGTTGGTTGTCCTCGATGTGGAGATAGTGCAGTGCCAAAAGCTTCCCCAGCTCCGACGGGATGTGACCTGCATGCAGACGGGCGGAACGAAGTAACTGAGCGGGACAAAAACTCAACTCCACGCCTTCTAGAATATTGGTCCCATTTACTACTTGAGAGGACCCCAACACGCCATCGACGTCCACTCACTGACCTAGAAGCCGGGGCAATATTTACTTTCCCGCTTTCGTGTTAGCACAACAGGACCGATACCGGAGGAGCTTGGAAGCTCGCCGCATTGCAGCGCCTCAGTCTCTACGGTGAAGCATGAATCCCGCGTAGGCAAAAAAAACGACTGCTTCGTCTTTTTCAGAACCGCGCATGGACGCGTACGCGTACGCGTCCATACAAGCTCGTAGGACCTTAATTCCAGAAAGCGGGGGTTTAGTTTTTTTTGTCCCACTCAATTACTCCGTTCCGCACGTCCGCTTGCAGGCCCCATCCCATCGGACCTGGGGCACCTTTCAGCCCTGAAGCATCTCGACCGTTCGGCCAACCAGCTGAGCGGTGAGCCCACACGAATTTGATAGCGTTCCCCGACCGCAAGCTCAAGTGTATGAATCTCGCCGATGATGAGTGGACGCGTACGCGTGCGCGGGATTCATGCTTCAAACATGAACTGCTGAACAAACTCACTGGTTACCTGGTTATCCGAAAGGTAGAGGTAATGTAGTGCGGCGAGCTTTCCAAGCTCCAGCGGGATAGAACCTGCAATCAGAAGAGAGAGTAGCGGGGAAAACAAATCTAAATGCCCCGGCTTTCGAGAACACACGCGTAGAAAAAGATATCACGCGAGTTACCAAATTGCGAAATTTCGTACTCACCCACGCCGCGGGATTCATGCATGTTCAGAACTCGAAAATAAAATGCATTACAAATTGTTCAACTCACCATCTAACTTGTTGTTGTCGAGGTAGCCTGAGGGCGCCAAGATTTCCCAGCTGCGGCGGGATATGGCCTGTAGACGAGGGAGTCAACGCAGGGCAGTTGGGCACGGTACAGAAAAGTTATCCAGCGAGTTCTGAAATTTCGTACCCGCCTACTAATCGGCGAGATTTATGCACGGACTCACGCCAAATCGATGGGGAAAGAGCTATAATATACCGTGTTGACTCACCGCTCAGCTGGTTATCGGAAAGGTAAAGCCCCTGCAGTGCTGAAAGGTGCCCCAGCTCGGATGGGATGGGGCCTGTAAGCAGGAGTGTGATAGAAATCAAGAGGGGATTAAAGATATTTTTAAACCGCCCCTCTATGTTGTGCGGGGTGGAGAACCCTCGCTCCGCGCAAGGGGGATGATCGCACCACGTTGTGTTAAAATGGTCAAGCACCCTCGAGGCAGTTACACAGTGCTTACAACTGTCTCTGGAAGTGAAAGCACCAGAAAATAAATTAATTCATACGCAGCTGTCATCCGTACGCAAGGAAGTAAGCACAAGATGCCGAAAACCCTTAGCAGGATGCAGCGCACCCTTCATGCGACTCGCCGAATATCTCACGGCGCTTCGCGCTTGGTGATGTGAGAGCCTGGTCCGGTGAGAACCCGGCGTGCTCCGTCCCGGCTTTGTAGGGATGCGAGGTCAATGGTCTAACGACTACGGCATGCACGACTATGAGTACACCCCCTCTATTTTCAAGGCAACTGATCTCCGTCGATCTTGTCCCGCCTACTAGGAATCTCGCCTATGTATAGGCGAGTAGGCAGTCACGTTCTCGGGCTCGGCGCTTCTATTAGGCGGGAGAAGTATTGTATTGTTTCCCGTGATTACTTGCTCATTCGCTACAGCACTGCCGCAATAATCCCATTCGCAAAACCAGCTAATCGGTTCGTCTATCGTTTTCCCCCAACCAAGGTCAGGATGAATCCCGCCGATGCCGGCTTCCCGAAGGGACATACATATGCATAGATGTCTCAAGTTTTCCCAGCTGCGGCGGTATGGGGCCTGCAGCAATGAGCAAATAATCTGGACTAGCGGAGAGTAGAAACTGTTTCCTCCCACCTTGTCTACAGCAGTAGAACCACGCGCCCCGTACAGCAGCCGATATTCCAAAAGGAATCGTCGGGACATTTTCGGAACGCCGGGGTGCCGGGAATGTACGTCAAATTCATTGCGCATGTGGATATCTTGCGCTAACCAGGAGATACACTGGAGGAACTTGGGGATGTCAGAGCTCCGAGAGAGCTGCATCTCAGCGACAACAACCTGGCAAGGTTATTTATGGAATTATTGGACGTTGACTCAAGGACGTAGGTGTCGTTTTGACTTTTCTGTGGGCACCCTTGTTTGACTAATGCAGCAAGCACCACCCAGAAAAACGAGATTGCTTGCAATCCAAAACACAGAGAGAGGTTAAAGAGAGCAAAAATGAGGAGGGGTCATCTCGACAACAACTCGCAGTATGGTCTGTCCACCACGTTCATCGGAAGCACGTGCAAGCAGCAACACATGCCAAACACCTTGGAGGTTGTTGCTGTGCAGGGCAAGCCGCACTACGCGGCCCTTGCCGTTGACTTGGACTCCAAACCATGTTGATAGCGCAGCATCCGTGTCCCAGTTCTCTCTATTCCTCCAGCTTGCCCCGCGCGCCGAACGAAACAGGGCGACCAGTGCGTCACGATCCGTCGTCGAAGCCTTTGCGCAAAACCTGCCCCGAGTTTACCCGCAGGTGCCTTGGTTCGTCTGACTTTTTTTCCGCGGCACGATTGTTTTCGGCGCCCCAAACACCCCGCCATCCCACCTACAAAATTGAGTGTACAAAGCTGCAATGTTGCAATCACCAGATACCGCTGCAGTCAGATACCGCTGTAGTCAGATATCGCTGTAGTCTATCTACATCATCACCAGCAATCACCAGTTGTCCAATAGCTAATCACCAGACAGCCGTGTGAGAAGAGAAAATAAGCTCGTGATGTGCGGGAGATTGCCGGAGAACGCAACGGTCCGCACGTTCCTGGTTCTTACCACCTACCCATCTAACCAGCTAACCAGCCTCCCTGCTGCACTGCACGGCTGCACCGCATTCAGCGTCTACGCTTCACCCTCTGACACGCAACTGCTGCGGATACCCCCGGAGATTAAGCGACACAAAAACGTGCACATATGCATATGCCTTGTAAGTGTAGTAGTCAGTCAGGTTCCCTCGCAGAGCTGTGGAGGTTGCAAAATTTTCGGCCATCTGTGCGACTCGTTGCTCAAGATCGATGACGACGAACCCTTCGTCCTGGGACACCTCCATACCATCTCTGTCAAGGTGTGGAACGGAGGAGATATTCCGCGAGAGTGAAAGGATGCAACCATCAAGGTGCTGTACAAGAAGGGTGACCGGTCCAACTGTAACAACTACAGGGGGATTTCGCTACTATCTCACGTAGGCAAGGTCCCCATCAAGATCATCACCAACCGTCTAAGCGCCTTCTGCGAAGCCAACAACATCCTCCCGGAGGAACAGTGCGGATTTCGACCCGGGCGATCCACCGTCGACATGCTGTTCGTCGTGCGCCGCCTCCAGGAGCTGGGGCGGAGAAAGAAAATACCGCTCTACATGTGCTTCGTCGACTTGAACAAGGCGTATGACTCGGTGGACCGAGGGATGCTATGGAAGGTGCTGGCCAGGGCCGGGATTCCCGCGAAGCTGATCGAAGTCATCCGCCAATTCCACGATGGAATGCGGGCCCGGGTGCGCATGGACGACGGAGAACTATCGGACTGGTTCTTGGTGACACCGGGCGTGCGACAGGGATGTGTGCTATCCCCACTGCTGTTCAACATCTTCTTCGCCGAGGTCCTCGAGGTCGTTGTCATCCGATTCAGCGAGGATGATGTTGTTCTGCGGAGCCTGGTGTGCTTGGAGGAGGGGAAGACGGAAGCGGGGGGGGGGGAGGAGACACCCCTTGACCGAGTACGGAGGGCAGTATGGGGGATGTTGTATGCCGATGATGCCGGCGTCGTATCGAGGTCTGCAGAAGGACTGGCGAGAATGATGACCATCATTGTTGAGGTGTTCGGGGAGTTCGGGCTAACGGTGTCGGAGAAGAAGACGGAGACGCTCCTGATGCGCGCAAAGGACAAGCCGACTACAACATCACAGCCCGCCCCGCCTCCACCACTGACCATCGAAGCCGCGGGACAGAAATACGCCCAGACGACCGAGTTCCGGTACCTCGGTGGCCTCGTCAACGAACATGGCGACCTCACCCGGGAGATCAACTACAGGAGCAGAGGAGCGTGGGCGTGCCTCAGGCGATATGGCCGAGAGCTCTTCGACAGACCGCAAGCGCCATTCCGACTCAAGATCCGCCTGCTCCGGGCGGAGGCGATGGAGGCACTGCTGTACGGCTGCATGACATGGTCACCACTCAGCGGCCACTATCAGACGCTGCGGTCGATACACCACCGACTGCTCCTTCGAGTTATCGGGTACAAGCGCAAGAAAGACACCTACCGGCAGCTCTCTTACGCCCAGATGCTGAAGAGGGTCGAATGCCAGAGAGTTGAAGCCACGATCCGACAACAACGCCTACTGTTCGCGGGAGCATTGGAAAGACAGTCGGACGGGCGACTCCCGAAACGACTGATGTTCGGCGAACTGGCAGGGGG